ATTAAATGATGATAGACCACCCCAGGAGGGTACCAGCTCCCCTGGAGAATCCTTCGCTGAGCATCCACGAACATGATTCTCCACTCCTGAGCGTGGGTGCTCAGGCTGCCCCGTATATTCTGGAGGGGGGGGGGCAAAATTCCGCTCAAGACTACAACTGCTCGGGGCAAACGGAGCAACGAGACCAAGGCGACCCCTGCCACGCTATCCGTGAATTTCTGCAATATCAGGGGATTTCACTCTAACCTAAACACCGTCTACTACCATCTCGAGACGGCGAAGCCGGCTCTGCTCTTTCTGACCGAGACACAGGTGTCCTCTCCGGTTAATGTCTCGTATATCTCCTACCCGGGGTACAAACTGGAACACTCCTTTGTGCCTCGGGCTGGAGTTTGCGTTTACGTCAGAGAGAACATCTGTTCTAGACGCTTCGACAGTCTTGAAGGTTTGGACCTGTCCATCCTTTGGCTACGCGTAGACAGCGACGACCATCCGCGCGTCTACGAGTGCCTCTATAGGTCCCATAGCGGCAATGCCAAAACAGACCGACTCTTCGACCACGTGCAAATGGCTACAGATTCGTTGTTACAGCAGATCCCCTCCGCAGAGATCGTGATCCTCGGCGACTTTAACACCCATCACGCCGAATGGCTTGGTCCGATCATGCGGGGAGATCTGTTCATGATTTTGCCTTGGCATATGGTCTGACACACAACTGGTTACTTCGCCTACGCGGATTCTAGATGTGGAGGATCATGCACCTTCCCTGTTGGACTTTCTACTGACCTTTCACCCGGACGGATATCAGATTTCCGTCGACGCCCCTTTAGGCTCCTCGGACCATTGTCTTGTCCGGAGTGTGGTGCCACTCACGCTGAAATCGCAGTTTCATTCTGCAGGCTGCCGCCATGTTTGGCACTATAGGTCAGCCGATTGGGATGGAATGCGGTCTTTCTTTGCATAATACCCTTAGGGTCAGGTTTTCTTCTCGCCGGACGATCCCAACGTTGTTGCGGATTCTGTCGCTGATGTGGTACCTCAGGGTATGGAACTTTTTATTCCTTTCTCTGTGGTGCCCATTGGAGGTAAATCTCAGCCACGGTTTGGTCGCTCCTGTAAAATAAGTTAAGTTACAGCCTATATACGTCCTACTGCTGGGCTCAGGCCTCCCCTCATTTCTGAGAGGGTTTAGGGCAAGGAAGTGTCCGCCGCGCTGCCCAAATGCGTGTTGACGAACTTCACATGTCTTCGAAATATTTTTTTTTCTTATTCCTCAGACATGCAGGTTTCCTCACGATGTTTTCCTTCACCGCCGAGCACGTGGTAAATCAGCACTTAAAATTGCAATTAACAATTTCATTGGTGCCGGCGGGGATCGAACCCGGGTTACTCGCATTCTGTTATATTTACAGCGAGCGTTAACCACTGAGCTACCACGGCTCTTCCTGTAAAATAGCATCATGCTATAAGCAGGAGTGCTAGCAAGCCCGGGCTGACGCATCAACGTCCCGGGATGTAAACACCAGCGCTCTAAAAAGAAGTATAATTCCGCCTCTAGGTCCTTTAAAAGAGCCAAGGCAAAGACAGAGCACATAGGCAGAATTCGCGAGAAACTAGTTCGCCTTCCTTCTGGAACCCGTGCATTCTGGTCTCTCGCCAAGGCTGTCCAGGGGAATTTCTGTCAGCCATCTCTGCACAAGGAGGACGACTCACTGGCCCATACCGCAAAGTAGAAAGCCGATCTGCTAGGCTCTTTCTGTGCGTCCAACTCGACTCTCGATGACGGGAAATACGCCGCCGACCATCCCGCTGTGTGAGTGCTCAGTGCCGGAAGTGCAGGGCACAAAGCGCTCGGTTCGCAAAGCACTCTTCTCCCTGGACGTCAGCAAGTCGAGTGGGCCTGACGGAATCCCCCCAATTGTGCTGATGACATGTGCTCCAGAGTTGGCACCGGTTTATCGCGTCCGTCCGTTTCCGGTACTCCTACTCTCTAGGCGTAGTCCCAAAATCATGGAAGACGGCTTTCATCCACCCGATCCCTAAAAGAGGCGACCGCTCAGACCCGTCCAACTACCGGCCTATAGCCATCACCTTGTTCTCCAAAACAATGAAGTCTATTGTTAACTGCCAGCTCATGAGGTACCTTGAGCATCACCAGTTGATTAGTGATCGCCAAAACGGTTTTCGCCGTGGTCGGTCAGCTGGTGATCTTCTGGTCTAACTAACTCACAGATGGGCACAGGCAGTAGAGTCCAAGGGGGAGGCATTGGCCGGTAGTTTGGACATTGCGAAGGCTTTAGATCGGTTTTGGCACAAAGCGCTTCTTTCGAAGCTCCCTTCCCTTCCCGAGAAATTATGCGATTGGATCACCAGCTTTCTTGCGGATCGGAGCATCAAGGTCTTTGTAGACAGTGCAAGCTCCGTGTGTGTTCCACAAGGCTGCGTGCTATCGCCAACGCTGTGTCTTCTGCATATCAATGATATGTTACAAAACCGTAACATTCATCGTTATGCAGATTACAGCACTGGTGATGCTCTGTACACCAGCCGTGCCCATATTTCTCGGGAAAACGTCTCCGAGTACCGGGACAAACTTGTGTCTGAAGTAGAGTCTTTGCTGAAGAGTCTCGGACTGGGGGCGACTAAATCTAGTCCAGTTTAACCCCCAGAAGACACAACTTTGCGCGTTAACCGCTAAAAAGAACCCTATTGTCGTATCTCCTCAGTTTCAAGGCACTCCCCTTGTTGCCTCAGCCAGTATCGGAATCCTCGGCGTCGACATATCGAGTGACGTGCAGTTCTCGTCACTTGGAAGAGAAGGCCAAATTGGCCTCTAAAAAGCTTGGCGTGCTCAGCAGAGCTGGACAGTATTTCATGCCGGCACACCGCCTGCAACTTTACAAGGCGCAGGTTCGGCCGCACATGGAATACTGTTCCCATCTCTGGGCTGGGGCTGCCCAGTACCAGCTCCTTCCACTTAACCGCTTGTTCGGATTAATCCCAGCCGCCAAATTTCGTGAACGCACTACGCAGCAAACGTCCCGATACCATCCACACCATCTGGATGCTTGGCGGTCCACCACTGTACGTTTCAAAAGGAGTTTTCTTCCGCTGACAACCTCGCTGTGGAATAGTTTACCACCGGCGATTTTTCTGGACCGATACGACCTGGGGATCTTCAAGAGAAGAGCTTACTCCTTTCTAAAGGGCCGGCAACGCACCAGCAATTCCCCTGGTGTTGCGGTTGATCATGGCGGCGGTAGTCACTTAACATCAGGTGAGCCGCATGCGCATTTGCTCCCTCTTCTATAAAAAAAATGCACAGGAAGTGAGGGAACGTACAGTGCGGGATATTGGGCCACCTGGTTTATCAGTTTCTCTTCCTCGGAATTCGGGCGTTGGCGGCACTACTGATCTGCGGTCGAGCTACAGTGTCGTCTGCCGCTAGGCAAACGACGTATTTCATAAAACTACATAGTAACCAGTTGTGTCGCGATGACACGTCGCCTGCTGCTGCTGCCTGCAGTCGGCTACGGAATTGCACCTTAAAAAGCAAATAATTAAATCTTTTATTTGAAACATTATTTTTTTAATGATTGTTATTTATTATTATATGATTAATTCTAATGTTGTTTAAAGTGAAATTTTGTGTATAATAAAACAAATGTAAACTTAAACAATGACTTTTATTCAAAACTAAAATAAAACAATTTTGTCTTAAAGTACCCAATGCTATAATATAACCTAATAATTGAAATTACCATAAATCTCTAATGTAATTGTTCCTTGAAGAAAGCTGGTTACATTTCCGCAATGAATTGAATGGTTAAACTATACCTTTGAATGAGAAAAGAACCAACCCTTGAATCACTGGTGGTTACGACCACCGACCAGACTTAAATATAACAAGAATTAAAAATTAATTTATTTAACATTGTAGAACCACAGTGGTGACAATTCTTCTACACTTTGATACTTAATCGAGGATATAATGTGTAAATGGACTGTTTTCCTAGTTTTTTATCTTAATTCTATTAATAAAAAAATAATATATGTACATAAAAGTAATATAAAATAATAGTATGACAACAGCAATGAATTGAGAACAGGGACTTTGGTAATAGGGGTAATGGGGTAGTGGTGGATGTTTTCGCTCTGCTTTTTAACAAGCTCTACAAGCATGGAAGTTATGCCAGCTTGTGTGCGGGCTATTACAGCTTGCATGCGAGATGCTTCTGCCATCAGCATAGCGGCATCAGCAAGCCTTTTTTCAGCCTCATCCCTTTTCTCCTCTATTTCCATAACCATTCTGGATCGACTTTAGACGGATGTGAAATATGAAAGAATATAAATATTGTTTCTACATATAAAAAGTTATAAAAGCTCAAGTTAACTCACGAGTATTATAGGATTTGCTACGTCTAAAGCGTTGCGTTGCAGTAGGCCGTCGAATCACTGTACTCTATATTCCTGCATAAAAATATTTTTATTTTAGAAAATTGCCTTGTTTTTTTGTTATATTGTAAATGTAGGTATCAAAAAATATTCATTTTTATACTATTAATACTAAATATGTATCATCATCATTAATCATTACACCCCTTCACAAGTCCACTGTTGAACATCCTGCATTTCTTACCAGGTCTCCATTTAGTGGGGGTACATGCTACATTTCGCCTACCAGTACGAGGCTACTGCTCGAGAACCTCTTTTCCCCATCGGTTGTTTGTTCTTCGAGCTATACGGCAGCTTATTGCCACTTCAACTCACTTATCCGTTGGGCTATGTCGGTCATTGTTCTATTATATATACTTAATACTGAATTTTATTGTATTTTATCCAGGGCTTTATAGAGCTAGTTACCGATAATTAGCAAGGCATTTGAATGGTACAGTAGTTAATTATACACATTTAAAATAGTTTAGTGTACTTTCCACTTGATCCAAAATAATTAAATACCAGTTTGTGGTGGTTCAGGAACATTTTGAGTATGTGGTAGCTCAGCCATATACTGTGTCTGTGTATTGGTATTTACTGGTGTAGAAACAGCAATTTCTGAAGTGTCTGTAAATAAAAAAACAGCAATTGTATTAACCAAGATTATTTAATGAAGTATTCTTTGCCAAAGGTTTAAAAGCCATATAAGAGGTTTCCAGACAATTAGGTACTATTCAGTGGCAAAGCTTCCATTAAAGCCGAAAAGCCGGGCTTGCCTTATTAAACCTGAATCAATCAATAATACCAACTAATAAAATAACTCGTAAAATGTTTCAAGCTATTTCAAATTTCCCGCGCACTCCACTGTTCGACACATGTCGACCGATGACCTCGTATTGCGTATATACCTTATATATACCTTAGCGATACTGCTGTTGTCATAAAAAATGAGTTTTAATAGAGCTAATAGTTGTCTCCCTCGCTTGCATGGGCTTTTTACGGGGCTTTCGAGAAGACGATCGCTCTCTTTCTAACCTATGGCAAAATATTCTATAATATAAACTACGATTGTATATATAGCAATTAGTATAGAGATTTAAAGCCAGGCTTTTGGGAATAAATTTGTTAAAATGGGAGGCGCGCGGGAAATACGTTTGCAAGTTCATTTCACGTTTCATTTGTTTATTTACTCTGTGTGCTTATCTTAAGTGATTTAATATTACGAGTTCAAAATTTATGCTTTTTTAAAGATTTTTAATGAAAATGGAGGATAATAGTGTTTCTTGTGATGAATTGAAGTGTGTTAAAGTGATAATCGGAGAGGAAATCTTTAAACTGACTTATCAATTATCGCAATTAAAAACAGTTATTGGTACAATTAAAACATTCACCAATATTTTACATGGACGTAATTAAATCTTTCCATAAGAAAGCGAGACGATTCCACTTATCTTATCTTATCTCTTATCCATTAGAATGTAAATAATTTTTTTTTAAATTTTGTACATAGTTTGTGTTTTACTTTTGTTCATGTATTGTATTGGATGTAAATATTTTTTTTCTTTCGCTTAAACAAACACAAACGGCTTTCTTCAAAGCCACCAAAGCTATGCAATTGCTGATATGTAATACAATCTATCTAGCAGTGGTATGCCTTCTGTGTGCTTTGTTAAACACGTCCTTGACAGCACTGAATATGAAACTGAAGCGTGGAGACAGATCAGGATTGGTGTATTTTTATAAAACTACTAAAAACAACAATTTTTATCAATTTATATCTTGGGCTTGCCCTAGCTTGGAGCTCTAGCTTCGCCACTGGTACTATTCATTGAAGTAGAGTGGTAATATAGTACTTGAATAAATATATTGTATAAATACATATTATATGTAAATATTGCATAAATACCTTTCCATAAAATATAATTAACAGCATGAGAAGTTTTTCGTTTCATAAAGTATTATAAAACTTACAAATCCTGCATGTTTGCCATCTTGTTGAAGGTTGATTTTACAGTCTCAGGAAGTTTAACTGTTCCAGTGTCGGATTCAGTGGTCTAAAAACAACATGTTATAAAGTTTTATTTTACAATATTTAAAGGTTATTAGGCATCCCATGAATTCACATACACTCATTAATTTTACATTTTAATCAAAGGCACAACAATTTAAACACAAATTTTAACTATAGTATATATAATTATGTATTTTACATACAAGTTAACCAAAATCATGGTTTATCTACTGAGCTCAACACAATAACTAAAGTGGCAAAATTTTCCAATCTCATCTTTTTCTATCAGACTTTAGGTTTTGTTATTTAATAAAAAAAATAAATCAATAAAAATATCCATGAAAATCATTTCATTATATTAAAGCTAGATGGTATATTCGAGATTAATTGCCACTATAGTAAAATATTTGTTATTTTAAAATAATATTGTATAGGCATAATTAAATATTTAATAACTTACAAATATAGGTACTCTGTGCTCACTGTCACCAAATACAGCTTGCTTTCCGATGACGGACAATATTTTTTTGTCAGTCTCTGATAAATCATCTTGGCTACTCGGACCACCACCAGTTGCCGAAGAATCTTGCCTCCGTTTTGCAAGTCTAGACTTACTTTTATGTTTGAGATCAGCCCAGTATTATGAATGCAACAGTATTTACTTTAATAAGACATATTATGGTATTGTTAATGCATACATTTTAGTTTCTAAATTGTTTGGACCAAGCAATACTACACATGTTAAAGCTTACCTTTTTCTACCGTTCACCAGATTTCGATGACCCAGATCCATGAGCATTTAGTTTTGTAGCAAGATCATTCCACTGTTTGTCAAAAGTTTCTTTAGATCTTGCTCCAAGCCCAACTCCTTTGGCTAAAGCAGGATGTTTGCCAAGAAATTCCAACAGTTCTTCGAGCTGATCGTTCGATACTCTATTTGCCATTTTATACTAAAAAAGACAACAATAATTACATTTAAAATCAATATAAATGCAATACAGGAATTACTTCATCACTGTTGTAACTTACTTTTTGATTTTAAATTTTAAAACACAAGATACTCGTACTGTTCGAATTTAAATCAAATAACAATAACACTAGAGATGTCCGATGATTATCGATGTTAAAAATTAAAACATCGATGTTTTAACATCGATGTTGCCACATGTCAAACATCGAAACATCGGTGTCAATGAACTAATAATCGATTAATAAGAACTTGTGAACAATGCAAACCCGTGAAATCAATATCAACTTAATATTTCATCTCCTATTAGGGTTAAAAGTTTTGAATAATTCTGGATTCCTAAACGCATCGGTCACCTAAAAATATCATAATGGTGTGTCAAATTCACTATCAAGTGTGAACTGTAATGTCACAATTGTCACTGCTTTTGCTTTGTTATTCTGTGGTGTCGTTGTTGGATGTCGCCCAATAACTATTCTACGTAAATTGAAATTCAAATTAGTTGTTTTTCCCTTGCTGTCTATACTCCGATAATTTATTTACTACTTTAATAACTATATGTATCTACTCAATTCAATTATATTGAGCCATTTTTTGAGCTAAAAATAACAATTGAACTAGATAGTTGTAAACTTTTTTTATTACTGTTTGACACAAAATGTTCATTAATTTATTTTATTACATTAATAATAAATCATAAACAACACTACTAATTTTGTATTCATTTAATTTTAACCTATTAAATAGGTATATGTGCAATGACATCGATAATGGTCAACATCGATATTTTGAGTAGGACAAACATCGAATATCGATGTTAAGCTATCGATACCAACATCGATTTTTGGCGACATTTGGTTACCATCTGTTTAACATCCCATTGCTTTATATACTTCCAGGTTTTACTACCAAATTGCTATTGGCGTTAGTGTCATCGCGATAAGTGCATAGCAAGCGATCACTTACGTAATACAAAAGTTTTTAAAACAAAGCAATTGATCGTTTGTCTACTGCGCGGTCATTCCGCGATTATTGTTAATTGCGAATTTTTACGTAATAACACTGACGATTTGCTCGCGTACTGTGAAATTTACAGCGAGCGCTAACCATCTGAGATGGTTTATTATAAATGAAATAAAAGAAATTAATAAATAATGTACTTAATTTAAAACACTAATTAAAATAAATTGGAAGAAGTTAACATATATTTAGTTTACTTGTTATACAGTCCGATGTTTTTTGCCGATTTATTGAAGAGATAGTAATTTTGACAAAGAAGTACCTTTCAATCTGTTTCACTGTTGATATGGCGTTGATCGTTGAGCCTGCTTTTGAAAATAACCTCCCAATAATCGATTATGTGTTCATTGACATAATGTTTGACATGTGACAACATCGATGTTTTAATTTTTAAAATCGATGATCATCGACATCCCTATAGGACAGTTACCAGTCTTGTGCCTGCTCGGTCATTTTAAAGATCGCTCCGTACTAGTTCATTTCAGACAGTGAATTAGTTCGTTCTATTAGTTCTATTAGGTCATCAGTACTACTAATCAGTTTAAATCGTATCTGTATGTATGGAATGGCTATCTCAGTCGGTGCATATCTGCTCGAGTCGTAATGTTCGTAATGTTTGATTACTCGTACACACGCACACTTAATAATTTTTTGGTCAAATTATAAGTCTAAAGTAAATTAGTGCTAAAAAAATAATTAGCATTAGTGAAATAAAATCCCATATCCATAGCATGCATAAAAGGACGAAACGAATATTAAATAGTACTACTTCTACTATACTACGGCTAACGAGAAGCGATACTAGGAATAGCAGGGATGCGTAATTTTTTGATAGTTAGATTATACATTTACGTAGCGAATATAGATTTAAAAAATGTCTAGCAAACCAAAAAATAGACTTATTATAAATTTTGATATAATTTGAATTATTGTATAATGTAGATTTAAATTAAATAAATGCTTTATGCTTTATTTTATGCTATATATATTTACCTCTTTTATGAATGGGTATTTTTTTTACAGAAGAGGGGGCAGACGAGCATGCGGCTCACCTGATGTTAAGTGACTACCGCCGCCCATCATCAACCGCAACGCCAGGGGAATTGCAGGTGCGTTGCCGGCCCTTTAAAAAGGAGTAAGCTCTTTTCTTGAAGGTCCCAAGGTCGTATCGGTCCGGAAAAATCGCCGGTATTAAACGATTCCACAGAGAGGTCGTACGCGGAAGAAAACTCCTTTGAAACGTACAGTGGTGGACCGCCAAGCATCCAGATGGTGTGAATAGTATCGGGACGTTTGCCTCGTAGTGCGTTCACGAAATTTGGCGGCTGGGATTAATCCGAACAATTCCTCAGAGCACTCCCCATGGTATATGCGAAAGAAAATGCAAAGAGATACAACATCTCTTCGCAGCGCCAGTGAATCGAGCCGATCGGAAAGCACTCGGTCGTCGATGATTCGAGCCGCTCTGCGCTGGATGCGGTCAAGTGGAAGGAGCTGATACTGGGGAGCCCCAGCCCAGAGATGGGAACAGTATTCCATGTGCGGCCGAACCTGCGCCTTGTAAAGTTGCAGGCGGTGTGCCGGCATGAAATACTGTCTCAATCTGCTGAGCACGCCAAGCTTTTTAGAGGCCAATTTGGCCTTCTCTTCCAAGTGACGAGAACTGCACGTCACTCGATATGTCGACGCCGAGGATTCCGGTACTGGCTGAGGCAACTTGGGGGGGTGCCTTGAAACTGAGGAGATACGACAAAGAGGTTCTTTTTAGCGGTTAACGCGCAAAGTTGTGTCTTCTGGGGGTTAAACTGTACTAGACTTAGTCGTCCCCAATCCGAGTCCGAATCCTCTGTTCAGCAGAGACTCGACTTCAGACACAAGTTTGTCCCGGTACTCGGAGACGTTTTCCCGAGAAATATTGGCACGGCCGTTGTACAGAGCATCACCAGTGCTGTCATCTGCATAGCAATGAATGTTACGGGTTTGCAACATATCATTGATATGCAGAAGAAACAACGTTATCATTAGGCCAAGTTTCTTTAACATATTTGTAGGTATTAATAACCATATTTTTTTCATTCACAGTAAAACTAGTCACCTAAAATTAAAAATTAAATTAAAATGATATACATACTTTACTTACATGCATCTTTAATAAGTAAATAAAAGTTTTATTATTACAGTTGTTTTTTTTTAAACTTTAAGATAATTTTAAAGTTATTTTTTATTTATTCTAAGCCAGTACTTAGCTACAATCCCACCTGATGGTAAGTGGTGATGTAGCTTAAGATTTTAAAGCACACTGTCTTAACAAAAACCTATTCACTCTTGCCTTGAAGACAACCACATTGTAATCGGATGGAAAGACAGATGCTGGCAACTTATTTCACTTCTTTGCTGTATGCATGACGAACGACGTAGCAAACCGTTTGGTTCGAATGCGTGGTAAGTCAACAACGAAAGGGTGGAGAGACTGGTCTAATGTCTGGTTGTCCGATGGTGGAAGGGAGAGGGAGGAATTAAATTATGCAATTCCTTCGCACACTCTCCGAAATGCATCCTGTAGAAGACCGAAAGGCTGGCTTCTTTATGCATGTGTTCGAGGCTGGTAATAATGGTTTTAACCAAATTCGGGTCACCTATAAGCCTCTTAGAACGCCTTTCCAATGAGTCCAAAGCTGCTAGGTGGCAGTTTGCAGCACCAGCCCATATATGGCAGCAATACTTCATGCACGACCGGACTTGCGCTTTATATAAGGAAGCATCTGTCCCGGCGTAAAGTATCACCACACCTTTGCAAGGACTCCTAGCTTCCTTGGAACTACTTTGACTTTGGACTCAATGAACCGCCCGAAGTTCAGATTTGAGGATATCTCAACCCACAGCAACTGGAGGCGGTCGGTGTATTCCAGTGATACATTTCGTAAAGAAGGAGCCAAGGTGAGCTGGCTCCTTTTTGCAGTGAAGAGATACGATTGTGTTTTGGAGGTGTTGAATTTCACAAGACACTCCAAACCATGAAGTTTTAATTAAAACTACTAAACAACATTATTTATACCTTTGGACGTTTCTTTTTCGGAGAAGTAAAATCTGTAGATTTATCTCTCGACGTACTTGGTTGTGGCTCCATCATTAACCACTCTTAATAAAAAACAATTGTCACCAAAACAAAATAATAATATTTAAATAAACAACAATTACTAAAATGGCCTCTCGAATGTTGGCGAAACGCGTCTTGACCCTGACACAAGATGGAAAGAGACATATAATAGATTGTCAACTCCACAGTCGCTTTTAAGGTACCTTTCGTATCACTGCTATTTGGCCGTACTATAGTACTATTCTTTAACGTCTCGCCAATTCTCTCGTTCACTCCCTTTCGTATGTTATCATTTACACGTGCAATCTAGCATCTTGCGAATGTAGTTGTACGAAAAGAGCCATTAGACTGATTAGAAATTAAACGATTTTTTTAATAAAGTGCTAAGATACTCGTACGTTTCTTATTTCCTACTCGTTCACCGTTCGCGAACTATACACGACTAACAGTTACTATACTCTCCTCACACTAGGCACACTAGAGTGATTTGCGTGGGACCGAGTTAGTGTAATGTTATAAAATCTGTGATAAATTATTTATACCGAATAAAATTCTTAGTACGTACTTAATAGTTTTTTATGCTGTTATAAATGGGATGCAAATTATCGTGACATTACTGTGCTATAAACAGTGAACATTTATAAGATATTATTTCCGATAAACGGCCTCATGAAGTTGAAGAATCAAGTTTTCAGTTTTTTTATACAATTTTTATAAAAGACACACTTTAGGCTTACTACAAATAATTTTTTGTAGAATGTATGTTTCTTTTACTTCGTTAAATATCGTATATGGATTCAGTTAAGATTTTAACACTTCGGTTAACCTACGTTTATGGTCTATTCCCGAAATAAGTTTAAATTTCAAATTTGCGATTATGGATTCAAAAGTCGTTCTGAAGGACAAAAATCCCCATGATACAGCTAATATTTTCTCGAAAATATTTTTATGGTAAGTAAAATAATACTTATTATTATATATATAGAAAAAGTAAGTTATATTTTGCTGGGATTTCACACATTTGCAGATAATTGAATTGAATTATTTTAGAAAAATATAAAATGAATTCTATAATCGTTAGATCTGGTTTAAATTTGAAGGAAACAGCGAACAAAAAGTAAGTATAGAAACTAGTAAATAATATCGTCTTACATCATAAAAATGAACAATATTGTTGAAATGATAACTATATCCTTTTTTGTAGTCGGTTAAAACTAACCGCTATTGTAACATGTTTGACGACTGCTTGGTCTAGTGATTAAAGTTGCTAGCTAAAACTAGACTGGGTTCAATCCTAACCGGGGCTTGTATACTTAATGGTAGGTACAACGTAGCAAAATCTTTAATTGATGGTTCTAGTTTGGTTGCATTATAAATAAATATACTTACGCGTGTTTTTGACACTAAATGCCGATATCTAATCTAACATGTAATGCCGGTTGTATACGCTCGTCTTGTCGCCTCGCGTGCCTCTCGTGTTGAGGCTCGACACGAGATCATACCATGTACACACTCGTACCATTTGAACTCCGTATGCCCGCTGAGATGGACCTAGATGTAATTGTTGCTGCGTTTTGCCTTTGTGCTATTAATTATGATAACTTTTTACACGTTAACCATAAAAATAGAATTAATAAGCCACGGCGAAGAAGAAGATAGTGGATGATTTCTATTTACCGTAACAGAACCATGTACGGTGAAAACAATATAGTACGCTCTCGTTTTCGTCGCGAGACACACGAGACACTCGAGCGCAAAAAACCGACACGCTTCCGAGTGCGCACGAGGGCCACGAGACGCGACGCGACGCGACGCGACGTGACGAGAGCACCATGTACACACTCGTACTCGGCCTGTCTCGTGGTGTCTCGACGAGGGTGTACAGCCGCCATAAGGAATGTTCTTTGTAACCGAATATGACGAGTAAATGCGTAATTTATTAATGCATACACGTAATGATAGCTTCGATTTATTTAGAAAATGTTGAAGTCAAAAAAGGAACAGAAGGACAGCATAAGAATATGTTATCAGTTATCACTTACGTTCCATATATGAAAATCTGAATAAAAAATTACAAAAGACATTTTTAACGGAAAAGTCGCAACTAACATTTATTTTATTACGATAATCTCTGATGAAATCCAGTTTATTGGCGAAAGATATTGAAGCTAAAGAAGCGGTAGGCTATTCAGGTAGGTACATGCTATTGCAATAAAAAATTTCCAATGGAAACAATATGTAAGCTCTAATCTTCTTTATACATATAAAAGAAGATGTCCTCAGTGACTGACACACGTCTATCAACGCATAGCCCAAACTACTAGATGTAGGAATTTGATTTTTGGACTGTAGCTGCCTTTCATGACAATAGCATCCACTGAGAAAAAATTTTTGAAAATTAAACCCATAAAAGAATGAAATAGGTTTACAGTTTATGTGAAACTTTTTATTTTACGAAGTCATTGTTGCCTAGAATCTTTCTAAAAGTACTCTGTAAATAAAATAAATAAATATACGGATTTTTGCTCTTTTAATACAGTCCTTTACGGTTTGCCAGAGGTTCAAATTTGTATGGAGAAAAAATAATAAATACTTTTTTTAATTGATAAAATTAGTACAGATTCAAGCAGAAGAACTCAAAAAGTCTCACACACTTAATCTCATGGCTGTTAGACGGGAGATGAAGATGCAGTCGTCAGCAGATTTGATAGAATACAGGTAACTGAACAGAAGGATCTCCAAATGCATGCGGCGGAACTTACGCAATTTTAATACAGATCGTACTGAGGAAGCGATTGAGCGGCACCAGGGCTCTAAAGTCTTTGCCAGAGATCTGTCTGCCAGAAAGAGCCAATTGTCGAAGCTGAAGACCGAATGTGGCAGCATCGTCTCCGGGACACCTGAGATTCTGAGTGGAATTGATTGTCTACTTGACTACTATTATACTTGATTGATTACTTGACTATTCCGATGATATCCTGGACGCTAGTCTGAGCGAGATTAGAATGGCTCTTCAGCACCTTGAAAACGGCAAGTCCCCGGCCGAGGATGGAATTAAAGCGGACCTTCTGAAAGCGAGTGGAAAACCGATACTTAAAGTCCTTCAGAAGCTCTTCAATTCCGTCCTCCATGGTGGCACTACTCTGGAGACGTGGAGCAGAAGGGCGGTGGTCTTGTTATACAAGAAAGGCGACAACGCCCTCTTAAAGAAATACAGACCGATTTCCTTTCTGAGCCGCGTCTACGTGCTGTTTTCGATAGTCATTACAAATCGTCTCTCACGCAGACTCGACGACTTCCAGCCCCCCGAACAAGCCGGCCGAAAAGGCTTTAGCACTACAGACCACATAATATACCCTTTGGCAAATTGTACAGAAATCCGAAGAGTACAATCTGCCACATTGTCTTGCGTATGTGGACTATGAGAAAACCTTTGATTTCGTCGAAATTTGGGCAGTGCCGCAGTCCCTTCAGCGGTGTCAAGTGGACTGTCGGTATATCAAAGTGCTGAAGTGTTTGTACAACTGGGTGACGATCGCTATCTGAGTACAGAACCAGAGTACAATACCTTTCCAACTGCAGAGAAGTGTAAGACAGGGTGACGTAATATCCCCGAAACTCTTCATCACTGCATTGGAAGACGTTTTCAACCTAATGGACTGGAAAGGATACGGTATTAACGTCAATGGCGAGTACATCACTCACCTGCGATTTGCCGATGATATATTCCTTATGACAGCATCACCGGAGGACCTAAGCACTATGCGCAATGAACTCAACAGTGTCTCCCAATGGATATGTCTTAAGATGAATATGGACAAAACGAAAGTCATTTGTTATGTCCATGTCACACCAATGCCGGTGGTTGTAAGCTTGAAGTTGTTGACGAGTATGTTTACCTGGGACAAGTAGTCCAACTAAGTAAGTCCAACTTCGACCGAGAGGTCAATCGAATGATTCAAGTCGGCTGTGCAGCATTCGGGAGATTGCGTCACATCTTCTCGTCAAGCATACCTCAAAATCTCAAAACTAGACTGTACAACCGTGTTGTCAGTGATTACCTATAGATCTGAGACGTGGTTCTTCACTGACGGCCGTATGTGGAAGCTCAAAGTTGCTCGGCGAGCTATGGAGGGGGCTATGCTCGGAGTTTCTCTGCGTGATAAACTTAGGAATGAGTACCAGAGTAACTGATATAGCCTGATGTATTAGTAATCTTAAGTGGCAATGGGCCAGCCACATAGCTCAAAGAGCCGAAAAAGGTTGTCGAGTGGCAGCGTCATACTGGCAGGCGAAGTGTAGGGCGTCCCCCCACTAGTGGCGACCTGGTAAGACGCGCAGGAAGTCGATGGATGCAGGTGGCTCAGGACCGTGCTTTGTGGCATTCCTTGGGGGAGGTGTATGTTCAGCAGTGGACTTGTGAATGATGATGATGATGATGATGAAAATTAGTGCAAATATTCTTGAATAGAGGTAATAAAATATGTTTTTTTTTTAATTTTTCAAAAATTTGCCCTTAAGGTTTTAAAACGAGGATCCAAATTTTCTATGAAAAATATTATATTAAGACGCATAGCACAAACTGTTGGACGTATTAAGCATGATATTGGGACATTTTATTTCGTACGTATCCACTAAGAGAACTTTGAAAATTCAAACGTTAGTAGGGTGAAATAGGATGTTCAGTTTATATGAAACTTTTCGTTTGATGGGCTTGATTGACTTGAAACTTACTGAAATTACTCTATAAAGTATAATGTATAATGTGTATGGTGGCTATATACTCCTATTATCAGCCTTTTAGTGCCAATTTCGAATAAAAAAATCCTACTATTAATATAGTAGGATTTTTTTATTATGTAATATGTGTAAGTATGTAATGGTAGTAAGCGCACAATATTTTGAAACATTCGTTTTAATAGATAGATTATTTATCCAAAAATGTGATGAGCATTTATTTGCAACAACAATATTTCAAAAATAATTTTATAACCGATAATAAGCAAAATAAGGCGTTGTGGCTCAAATTTCAGCCACCCTAAATCGAATGTCGTCCTTTAGTGTACCTAATGCCAGCATAGCAGAGGATTATGCCTTTTGAGTTTTAGGTAAGTTTACTACTTACATCACTGGGTTTTTGTTTTAGTCAGGTCGATTTTCTTTTAACACTAAATAATTAATTAAAGCAAATTATGAGAAAATTATGTAGCACATCGATTTCTTTTTTTTATAGGATAGGGTGACAAACGAGCTCACAGTCCACCTGATGGTAAGTGGTTGCTGTGGCCCATAGACATCTACATCTATCCTCGATTACGAATCAAAATGCAGATGCGTTGTCACCCGTGAGGACTAAGATGAAATGCCTCATTTCCAGTAAAAAGGGTCTTCCGTTCTCTACACTTGCCATACGAAACACAGCAGCATTAAGCTACTATTTTACGCTGGTATTCCGTGAGAACGTGGTCCTTCCCCGGTAGAGCCGACCCATTCGTGCTACAACTAAACTACTAATATGTATAACTGTAGCATGGCTCTACCACGTATATAATTTAATCATCCAAGTTTTCGAATCATCACCATCATTCCAGTCCGTTACAAGTTTATTACTGAACATCCTTCTCCATAGACTGCCGAAAAGTATAGTCCGGAAGCACTTTCCTTGTCATGAGTTTTTAATATAAGTTATTTTTATTATTTCTAAGTTATACTTAGTTAATTATATCTATTTATTGCTTATTTTTCTCTTTCTCTAAAATAAATTAATATAGGTATAAGGTATTCTTAATACACACCGAATGTCTGATAGAAAAGCAAATAGGTTTTGCTAACTTTAAAGTCCGAAACCAATTCTTAAACATAGACAAATCGATCGTAACTTCCTAAGTTATGTTCTAATTAATAGTATTTATTCCAGTTTATGAGTCCTGCTTTATATTACTTGGCTGAAT